CCCTTTCAAATATAAAATACTTGGCTTGGGATTGGATGATCTCTCAATCCAACTCTTAACGGAACCAGTTGGAAAATAAGGGAAATTGTCTTTTCAATTACAAAAACATTCAGGGGTTGTCTTTGCTCTCTTTTTAATAAACAAAAAACTATTATGTTATAACTGATATTATTTCAGCATAGACTTAAACCACTGCCCCTAGCAGCAGGTAACACCTCAAAGGACAATCATTTCCCAGGATATTTTGAGAATCCAGCTTCCATGCAAAGTAAGGTGACACCACAAACTTCATGATACAAATACTACGTTCAATAAATCTGAAGCAGTGCAACATATTTGACTGCCTTTGTAAAGCAGTTGCTGCACCTACGTCCTCATGCAGATGGTATTTGTAAAACTAAGAATGTGGTCGTCTCTACATCATCAAATCAAGGTAAAAGTTGACATCATGTACAATTAAGTAGTTATTAAATCAGGACACAGTTGGCATCTGTTTTAGGCACTTCTATGAGTCATAAAGTTAAAACTTATATTCCTAAATGTTGAATCCTTTCAAATATTTGTATGCCTTTATTTTTTAAACCAAACTATGGAGGGTAGTATCAACAAGAATATTGATTGAAGTATCAGTATCAATAGGCAGTATCAGTATTTATATCTGTATCAATAAAATCCATAGGAGACTTCTCTCTATGCCAAGAAAAAAGTAAAGAGAGTAGCATTGAAAGCGATTCCTTCATCACCAAATCATATTTTGTATCCTTCACTTTACCACTATATCAGTGCTTCTCAAAGTGTGGTCCGCGGATCACTGGTGGTCCGTGAGCGCCCCCTAGTGGTCCGTGAGTATAGTTTTCCGCACTCTCGCGGGAATATCTCCGCAATGGAGCAAGCTTAGGTTTCATTGCTTTCGATTGCATGATATAGCCCAGCGCAGCACCTTCATTACACATGTTTCCACTTGTTTGTACCATTTTCAGGCGATTTGTAATCTGTAGAAAAACGATGTGATTTTGGATATTTGTGGAGTTAGGTGGTCCGCGAGTGTTTTTTTACTGGTTAAGTCGTCCTTGGTATGAAAAAGTTTGAGAAACACTGCTCTATATGATTCAAAAGACACCTTTGTGAAAGAAACTGAAATGACGTTTGCACAGGTCCTCACAGGCCCAAAAACATGTAACCTGATTTAAAGTCAGCCCATGCATTTAAAATGTGATGTTTTGATTGCAGTCATCAGGCCTGAACCACACACACAGGGATGGTTCCCCTTCGAGCACAGATGTATTTCTAGGTTATTATCATGGGGATGTCCACTATCGCCAACTTTCGCTCACCCGTTTTGCAATATTTTTTTCTTCCAGGTTCCTATTTCACATCTTCTTCTTGTTCCCATATCTGCTATTTCCCACAATATCAGTTTTCCACTCTCTACCCCATCCCCCAGCTCTCTCCTGAGAGACAGTTAAGAGATATGTAGGCAGATCAGGCATAAAGGCAGATGGTGAGAGCAGAGAGAGAGGGAGAGAGAGATGAAGAGCGATAGAGAGAGAGAGAGAGAGCGAGAGAGAGAGAGAGAGAGAGTGGCTGAGTCCACAGGCAGGCCATGGCCAGTCAAGTGAAAATGAGAACAGGCAGCTGAGCTTCTCCACAGCCAAACCTACAACAACTGTACATACAGCAGCCCGTTGTCTCTGTACTACGACAGCAACAGAACACAAGCGAGTCAAATGTGGAGAAAGTCTCTGTGCTAAAGTCTCTGTGCTTTAAGAATGAATGCTGAGGCAGTAGCATGCCGGAGGCCAAGATCATATTCTGGATGCAAGACGATGATTGCAGAATTGCAAACAGTTGCAGGATTGCAGAGCAGGAGTGCCTGGCAGTAGTGATGCTATTAATAATCAACACGTGTATCTATTGATTTGGTAATAATTATGAGATAAGTATGTGTTTTGGAGGGATCACAGGTGAGCTAAGATGTGTTTCCGGAGCTGGACAAGAACACCCTTTGTTTTCAATTTTGCAAAAATATCTAACTGTCTCTCATATTCACAATGTGCAAACATGGTGCTAGCAGAAAATCAATAGATATCAATGCAACTGTTTTCAAGCTTAATATTGGAGATAATCAAACTATTCTAACCATTGTGTTTGAGTAAGATAACACATGACACATCCACCTCGAGAGAAAATGCTGCTCAACAAATATCTCCGACCTAAAAACCACAGGGACACTGAATCTCTCAAACAGTGGCTTCACTCTCCTGCTGACGAACACTACAGTCTCACATGCGTAATTGACCTAAAAACTCAAGAAGCCTAAATTAGACATTGCTTCAAGTTGTCCTATTTAAACCATCTCATCATTACTGATTAAATGGATTTCCTTTCCCTGCACACATGTGCGCACGTACACAGGCACAGCGCTGGCACATGTACACACAGACTGAAGGGGAAACACAGGAAAACCAATACTGAACCTGTTTAGGAGGACGTGTGTTGTCCTGATGGCGTCCTGTGGTACTTGCTGAGTGTCTTCTCTGCATCATTCGTGTTCAGGTTGAAGACAACTGCTAAATCCAGATTCCTCCACTGTAGTTTCAATACGACTGTCTTTCCTTCCTTAGCCCTATTTCAAATGTCAAAGTCATAAGAACCTCAATCCAAAGCAAGTGACATTTCACTAATGAAGTCCACAAACACTTCCTCTCCTCTCCACTGCTCTCCTCTTCTCCGCTGCTTCATGAACCTCCCTCTGTCTTCTCACCCGCCCCTGTTTCCGCATCTGCCAATTGCAAATGTTCACCACCGGTTGAGCGATGAGAAGACTTGCAATACCCTGAAATCAGTTGTATTGGACATACCTGGTTGCTAGGATACTTGGGACAAAGATCAAAGTGACTCGAATATGTACCATCAAATTGTTGTTCGGGGCTCAGTTGGCCACAGTTACACTACGCCCACTACTTGTCGAGTGTTTCCTGTGATAGCAGGTGATGCATGACAACCGAGCAGCAAGTGATGTGCATTATCAGAAAAGGGCTTTCTGCATCAGGAAACGGATGCACATATTGATTCATTAAAAGTCTATTAAGATGGTAGATTTGTTGTAGGCTAAAGCCGGAGCCACATGTCCAGTATGATGTCAGTTTCGGATGGATTTAAATATTGACTTAAAAGCAATAATATACAAGTTATATTTGTCAGATGTTTGTTGAAAAGATCTTGCGGATTTAAAAAATATAGGAGCCTTAGTGGTTTCAAATCAGCAATCAGCTCTTCTTTGGTTTTGATCTCTGAATTAATATTATAACCTTAACATTGATAGACTTGCTAGTGCCAAAGCTCTCTTTGATGCTAGATAAACGATGAGCTGACCTAACTAAATATATATGTTATATGTTCAAATTGACATAGAAACAACTGACAATCAGTTAAGCAAATGTTTTACTAGCACTGCTGATACCACTGGTTTTCAACACTTTATTTTGCTTCTTTATGCAAGTTTTAAGCAGATTTTTGTTCATTGTGTTTGTCATCTTAATTAATTGTATAATCCAAAACCAAAACAATGCTGCTTAGTATAAAAATATGGCCAACTACTGTCAACACATGGTATAACAATTCTACAAAATGCAAAGCCTATAGATAATATAATAATAATAATGTAACGCCAAAATGTGCCAGTTATTTTGCACATTAGTTCATGGAATGTAGGGAAGCATGCGGTGCAGTGGGTTGAGCGTTGGTGATTAGATCAGGGGGTCACAGGTTCAAACCCCACTGCAGTCAGCATGTCGTTGTGTCCCTGGGCAAGACACTTCACCCCAAATTGCTCCTGTGGGGATTGCCCACAGTATTGAGTATGTAAGTCGCTTTGGAAAAAAGCGTCTAACAAGTGACATGACATGTAATGTAATTAACTAAACCCCGGCGAGAATGCAAGTGTGTGTAACGTAACAAGTAAGGATGGTTTTGACAGAACTACAA